ACACGCAAATATTTTAATAAGTCCATCGTCCTTGGTTCTTAAATATGATGATTTGCTCCTTTTTTCTTTTTAATGTGGGTGGAATTTAAAAATCTTTGGGGTTTGACTGCTGCTTGCAAAAAGAAGAAACAATCACCAAACCAATCCATTGTAAAAATAATCATTCACCAAATTAAATTCTGTTTTGCTTTCCTTCTGTGTTTGCCAGATGAAGATGCTGCATCATTTTGTGGCAAAATCACAAAGATGCGCGACGGGAAAACTATCAACTCACAATTTTTTTTAAAACACAACAATCAGCAACAGTTGACTTACCTGTGACGAGCTCCCGCACTTCTGCATCTACCGTCTTTCTGAGCAGGCGGAGCAGAGCTGGGATGCCTCCAGCGTTCCTCACAGCGATCTTATTGTCGTCCATCGCTTTGCCGTAGACCAGGTTCCTCAGGGCTCCGCACGAGTTTTTCTGAACCTCAAGGACCTTGTGCTCTAGCAGGTCCACCAAGTGTTTGATTCCTCCAATCCGACATACCTACAGACAAGGTGAACCAGATCACACACTGTTATCAGATGAAAAATGGTTCAGACTAGAGATTCCGATATTTATTCATGTGACAGGAGAAGATGCCACACAAAGAGTTATTCAGAAAAATTATGCCATTCTCTGAGCGCAGGAAAAACAGGATGTGGCAGTTTGAAAAGTTACAGCTGACATTTTCTTCTGGAATAAAGAATAAATTCTACTCAAAACAAATTTAAAAAATAGGCTTCCTGCTTTTCATTGTCTAGCATGAATGATGTCGTTATATGTTCTTCTTTTGTCGTCTGAGACTAAAATTGCACTCTTCCTATCTGATGCCTTTTTACTCTGTCTGTGTTCCAAAACAATAATTCCTTTTTCACCTGAATGCATTACACAGAGAAACCACCAGCTTGACCTTCAATGACATTTCAGGAAAGAAAAGATGGATTCCAGTATGTCAATGTTATGCACAAGTAAAGAGCGGTATGTCTGCTGCTTTATGCTTTGGCTGCTTTTCATTGGCTTAAGGCAACAAATGCCCAAATGATCCCACATCTCACAGAAAAACATAATGATTATGATTAATTATTAGTATATTTTGAATGTTTCTCTTTTTCCTCTCCCATTCATCGTTTTAAGATCCCTCAGATTGAGATGCATTTAAAACTGTAAACAACTTAGTTCAAACTAGCTCAACTTCCAGCAGCTAAAAGAGCTTAAGCACTGATGCTTCAGTACTAATTATCTCCTGATGGCATATATAGGAATAAATCAGTTCAGAGGGACCAGGCCAGTTTATTTATTTGCTTTAAATCTCGTTGCACAGCTAAAGCTTTTCTTTTCTTTTCTCAAATGAAAATAACTTACTTTTGGATTTTGTTCACAACTCGTCTGATCAATGTATAGCTACATTGCTGCATTTAAGTGCAATAAAACAAATAGCGGGAGCTTCAATACTAAAAATAATGTGAGCATCCATCAACATAACACTTGTAATAATTCTCATAAAATACAATGGTTGAATAATGTCATACACGCCTACCTCAGCCTTGATTCGATTATCGCCAAAGCACAGGTGCTGCAGATAGGCAGCTGCGTTGGCCTGCACAGATGGGAAGTGATGCTGAAGCATGTGAATCACCTCCGTCAGCTCAGGGTCGCGCCACGCAAACTCTCTAGAAGCAGGTGAGACAGAAAAGTGTGAGTGTGACAACAGAGGCGGAAATAAAATTGTCTCTGAAGGACATACAGAAAATTATACATACGCTTATACAACCAGTTCTATGTTACAATCCACTGGTCATACTTGGATTACACCTTTTCTCTTTGCAGTAAAAAATGAATGTGCAATATGTCATTTCTTGGCTGCTCTTGAATTATATTAACACAGCGACAGACTCCAACCAGCCAAGACAAAACAAGGAACTCAAGGAGCTGATTCTGTTGAATGGCTGTAGTTTGAGTATGAAAATTAAAGCCATACTTCAAATAATGCCGCAGACTATACCTCAAACTCGACTAACCTCTTCTTACCGCCTATGCAAGAATCATGTCAGACAGGAAGGAGAGAGTCAAGGAAACCGAGCACAAAACAAACACTCAGACGTTACAAGAGGTAAAACATGAGAAAGAATCAACATAGATCTGGAAAGGGTCCCAATTTACACAGTAATGAGTCACAATATGTGTCATTATCTGAAAATGACACAATTTCTATCAGGATATGGGATTTTTGTTCATGACACACAGTCCTTTGAGTTGCAGAAGAAATGCTTTTACCTCATGGAGTGTACTTTAGAGCCATGAGAACCCAGCCAGGTCAAACTGCTTCCAAAGATTGAAAATACATGGGAATATCTTCCTGGACAAATATTCCAGAGGATATTTTATGACCTGAGTCATGGTTGTAACCCTGGTGCAGTCACATCAAGTAGTTACACTACAGGGTGAAAACAAAGCTCCCAATGTGTAAGATCGGGGGTTTACTGAAGGGGTCAACCCGTTCTGTACATTTTACACACGTCTATACAACAAAAGCCCACACAGCACTTCACTGCATGTGAGAATCTATAGTTAAATGGCCAAGGCAGAGATTGAGCCAGTTTAATGACTGGAGCTGCATGCGACTATCCTCAGGGCTCTGTGTTTGAATAGTAAGTGGACACCGCTGTTCACCCAGCAGAACAGGGATGCCTTGTAAGCAGAAATAGTCCCTTTGGGCAGCTGGTTTGTGTTATACTACACAGGTTTAACCTGAGATTACATCATGCAGTTTAGAAACAGAAAAAAAAGTGAGCAGTTCTTACCTGGGGTCCTTCTGAATGCTGTCTATGGAGGGTGAGCGTGTGGCACCATCGTCCATCACAACAGCCTGGCGAGCGTAGTTTGGATCGGAGGGCCGGTACTGTGCCGAGCGATACGGATCAGCATAGGTGGCTGCTGTGTTAAGAGCATAGTTGTTTCTTTGGTAGGTCATGGCACTGCGCTGGCTGGATGTCCGCTGGAGACTCCCCACCCCTGAGGGCAAAAAAAAAAAAAAAAAAAAAAACACACCACCATTCAGAGGGAGGGTTTAAACAATAACATACACGTGAGCCAACAAAGTGGAGATTAGCAGCATTCAGACCTTTTCAGCTCAACTCTGAGCTTTGCAACACCGTTAGCAGACAACTTTAAACCAAGCTGAAAATACAAACATGCAGCCGACAGACTCAGCAAATTCTTAAATCTGGAAGCAATAAATGATGAGGGGAAAACACAGCTCCCATGGTTTCCACAACGCAGAAAGCGTCCTCTTCAAAGGCCTGTTTGCTTGTTGTTTTGTTTTTACAAGACTGGGTTTGAGCCAGAGGGATCCTGCTGCTTTTTCAAAGAGGACAAGGAGGACTCAACCTGCTCGATGATCCAGAAATCCTTTCCTCTCACCGCCTTCTTGCTCCTTTGCGCCACTGGACTCTTAGGCTAACTTCGCCAGACAGAGCAGAGAGACGATGGTAAACCATGACCAGCTCCAGAGATGCACTAGTCAAGTGGAGGCATCACAAACACAAACATGCAGAGACATCAGTGCTCCAAACAAGGTCCAAAATTCAGCCTGACAGCATCTTGCCATCTTTTTTTCCCATCCGCTCCAAGTGATATTATGACCTAGTTCTGTAATACAATGGGTAACAAACACAGAACTGCATAAACAAGCTGGTTGGATTTAGCCCTCCTTCTCACCCGAGCCACGTGATATGTGGCAGCGTGACTGCTGCACTGGTCAGATCTCTATCTGCTCTCCAACAGGACTGGGCATGTGCGTGCCCAAGCTCTCCTCCTACCGGGAGCCAAGACATCAACTTGTGGGGCTGCTCCAAAAACACAATTTCTCACATCAGTGCACTTCTATGTTGGGCAGCAGCACTACCCTGCAATATGGTTACATCCCAAAAAATGTGACCAAACAGAGCCAAAGACACAGGAAGATAAACAACACAGTGACACAGCCATGCAATTTTAAATCTGGGAATGCATTTCCCCGTCTTTTCAGCCCAGGATCAATATTTCTATTTGACTTAAAATGTTCAAAATCAAAATTGTTCCCACCTTCACAAAAAAAAAAGTTTAAGACTGCATGAAAAGCCGAAGGGAGAAAGGGGCTATTGTAATTTCACTTCAAAACTTAACAAAGAATACTCCAGGATCAAATTGGATTTTTCAAATGAGCCAGCTCGCACAAAGAGTCCATATTGAACACTCCCCCCGGCTCCACCCCACTTGTATTTTCCCAATATAGCCGGCGTAAACACGTTGTGTACTGTCTGCAGGGGCTTCTTCACTGCATCAATAGCATTTATTAGTGAACTCATTGGTCTAAGCAGGTCGCCGGTGCATTGAAGGAGAGAGGGCTGAACGGTGTGTGTGTGCGTCGGTGCAAGCGAAGCATGTGTATTCAACGCAGGCGGGATGATGAGAGGAGAATGCCAACATCAGGAGAGCTGGCGGAGAGGAGACGGTGGACGTGGGTAACCAAGCTGTCCCTGGCCCCCACATCCTTCTTCTCATTCTCAGTGCGACACACACGTAATGGACCTCTTTGTGGCAGGATGACATATCAGTACCTGCCTATTAACTCATGTCTCACCCTTTCTGTCTCACAGTTGAGGGAGGGAGGGAAGGGCGGCAGTGAAGGAGACAGTGACTGAGACGAAAATAGAACGAAAAGCAAAAAATAAAGGGATAAAATATGTTGCGCTAAGGGACGCTAAATGGCGATCGCCAAGACAGACAATAAACCAATACGTCAAGGGTCCCTAATTAAATAGAAGACAAAGAGTACATCTGTGCAAGATGAATAAAATCAAAGTACTTTTGACGCAAAAATGTGTCCGCTTGAAATAAAAAAAAACATTATGAGGGACGAAATGCTTTGAAAAGTGTTTTATCTTAACCTGCATGACAGCGCGGCATGAAGATATAGAGACAGCACCAGCAATAAAGAGAGAAAATGGAGGTAAATAAGGAAACTAAACTGAGTTTCTGGTAGGTTTGGGAATAATTTATAGTCTGATATGTCACACACTCAAAACAATACACTGTGTTGTTTATTTCTCGACAGCAGCAATTCCTCACTTTCTTTTGCTATGCGGACCTTTTTAAATGACAGCATTGATCCAACAGGGGGAGAGCAATCACCAAAATAAACCTCATTTAGTGAATCATATCACCTTCCCTGAAAACTACACCTTGCTATACTCCCTTTCTATATTTTATTCTATATTAATTGTAGCCTTGCACTTGCCATATGATGTTGAACTTGAGATCAATATCACAAAGATAATATGAAGTTCACTGCAATAATAGTGAGAAAATAGCATAAGTACAATTTTACTATTGTGGCCTGGCACTGGTCCGTAGGACGCGAAAACCAAATGATATTGTTTTTTATGAGGACATCCTTATTGTGGATCAAATCCTCCAAACATACAGTTTTCGTGCTTGTTTAGTATGCATTAGTGTTTAATATGACCATGCAGACTCCACCTCTAGTCAGTTGAAAGGTAAAACTCAAAGTGTGTTTTCGTACTTGAAAGTCAGGAACAAGGTTCATGTCTTTGTTACACTGTTTACATTTGATCCGGTTAGATTTGGTTTCATGTTGTAATTCATTCATTGTAAAGTCCAACCCTATCCAAACAAGTCTTTTCACACTGCAAACAGGTCTAAAACCCTGAATGGGGTCTCATCAAATAATAGCGTGGGACCTACCTGAGGTGCTCCTGTAGAGGGTGCCCTGCTGGGTGTGGCTGGGGCTACGGTACAACGGGCCCTGGAAAGTCCGATCCTCATAGATTGGTGCAATGTGACGTTCTGGGGACATGGCTGACCTTAAGTCCTGACCCAGCTGGCTGTGTTGACTGGCGTATGAGCTCCGTATTCCTGTGGAGAGGCATGGGAGAGTGGTTAGTGGGTATGGATATGTAGGATAAAATGGTCCACTGATTCTACAGACAGACTCTTAAGTGAAGTGCCAATGGCTTGAAGCCTGTAAGACAAATAGATATTAATCAACTGTCATGTATAATGTCAAACTGTCAGAGAGCAGGACGTTGAAGGATTTCCAGCTTATTTGCTTTAATTCTCTCTGCATCAATTATAACATGGTGGGGAGTAGGACAGTTTTAGATTACATTCATTTATAAATGTAATATGATTGTGAAAATCTATTTTATGACACTTGATACTTGCTTGAGTTAGGTTTTCGATCATATTAAGCAAAACGTTTCCTTGATTGTTGTCAATAAAAAGAGTAACCTTTCCAAAATAAAAGCAGACATGATGTTCACCGTGACCTCTCAAAGATCTTTTCTAAGAATTTAAATAATGGAAATTGAACAGAAACAATAAATAAATAGATACAAAAAAACAAACCTTTACGTGTATGACAGTGAGGTCTTTTTTGTCAATACCGAATACAACTTCCCTCCTAAATCTGATTACTCAGCTATTAAATTGAAGGGAAACGATGCGTATATAATCTACACATGTAAAAGTCAAAAGATCAAATGGTTCTTTAAGGCAATAAAAACAAGCTTTAAAAATCATAAAGTTTTTATAATAGCATGTATCATTTCTTATCCACATTACATGCAGTTGACATATGAACTAGTCAAACCTCATAATCACAGTCTATAGTGGGAGAAAACAAGTATGATAGCAGAATAACAAACCATGTCATTTTCCTCTTGATTAGATTTTCTCACCCCAACTACAAACGTAATAAAAGAATATTCTTTGCTTATTTTTCAATTCTCTATTCGGTTAAAAAACCTAGACACACAGAGATGACTTTGTTCAAGACCATGCGCTGTAAAGCCTGAGTTGCCATTATGTCCTTTTTTTGCACTTTAACACAATATGAGAGGAAATAACTGTAATTTAGTCTGTATTTGTAATCTTGTAGAACATTGTAGAAAGATGAACACAACTACAAGCCAACCACTGCCACTGTTATTGCGTTATTTTGCATTGGTGTGCTCTTTTATATGTGGGGAACAAATAGACAGGAGCAGTTAGTAAATACTGCACTTAATGGGCCACCAAACCAGAGCAAACTTAATGTGAATCACTCAGAGGAGATGTTGGGAAATGTGTGGTACAGGAAGCAGCCCGAGCCCCAAATCAGGAACGGGCTGATTTGCCAGGGCTGAAACAAGCAACACATAGGTGAGTGCTGCAATTAAAACTCCCCTCCAAACAGATCACTATAACAACCGGCTGCGGGGGCAGCATGAAGCAGCAAGTCCTGTCTGAGTCAGACTCTCGGCAGATGTAAGACACGGACAACAGGATGAGGTAACGGCATTATTTCGATCTTCACAATAATTGGATGTAAAGGAGACGAGACAGGCAAAGAGACTCCACACCCTCATCTCTTCCCAAAGCAGAATAGAAATACCAACAAATTCAATGCACTCAAAGCACACACTGCATCTGTGTGATCTCTTCTAGAGAATACATCTTCATGTTGTCACTCTTAACATTTCTTGAGTTTATTGTATGAGGTCAAACCTCAAAGTATTGAAAACACCTTTCGTTTTTGTCTATCCACTGCGCACTAGTGAGGCAGTCTCTCAAGAAATAACCCAAATTAGCATTATGAATTTGAAGATGAGCATGATATGTTTCCATTCAACAACTTGCCTCTTTTCAAAGTTGTTCAGATTCTGATTTTGCTGTTCAGATATAATTATTAATGTAGAAAGAAATAGACTATAGCTGGTGCATTAGGAAGAATTAATTAACTGATACATTTTAAAAAAACTAATTACAAAAGAGAAGACCCTAACCCCTTAACTGTAACTGCAACATAATTATTTTACATATAGTCTAGAATTTACACTCAAGTTAAAGTAGGATTAAATGTATACTGTACTCTGAGTCACTGTGCTACAGCTTTAAAAAGTGGTGTCAAGGAAAACATATATGATGATGACCATAATGTTATATGATACAATTAATATATGGCAGTACAACTTAAGGGTAAAAAATGTATAACATCCTCATGTTAACCTATTTACTGGCATACTTTAACATTGGCTTTTGTACTCAAAGTGATAAAAGAAAAAGAAAGAAAACTTGCTAGTAATAGTAGTGAGAGTAAATGTGACTGCATATAGAAGCATGTGGTGCAACACCCACACCCACCAGTGCAGACACTCGGGTTTGATTACCGACATCCAGCTCAGCCATGTGTTCCTAAAAGCACATTTAGCTGTGACTGTGTGAACGTCCTGCATGTTACAGCTTACAAGTGAAGCCTGTTGCTGACAGGATGAAGAGGCAATTGGTCTCCACTCTCCCCAGATCAAGGGAAGGGCTAGCAAAGACAAGGACTGGAGTACATGGGGCATTTCAGAGAGGTAGAATAAAACTGCAATAAAAAAAAGCAGAGGGGAAAAACAAGGAGAAAGTGGATGAATATGAGCCCATTAATTGGAGGACTGCTGTGGAGGAGATGGATAATCTCTTTCAAAGTTTCTACCAAACTAACTAAGGGCTAAAAAGTGACCACATCCTGACAAAATGATACATTCAGCCCCCGATTCAGGGCTCAAAGTGTTTTTATTAACAAAGTAGCATTATGTGGATGACATTCTACAAATGGCATGAATGGGCTGTGGACTACGCTTTAAATTGAAGCTGAAGATTCTTCAGTTTCCTTGTTTGTCAAACAAACTTGCACATTTTTGTGATCAGCACGCCCATGTTTGTGTGAATCCTCACATTGGTGAAGCTCACTCAAGAGTGAATCCCAGTGGACCAGTATACAGTTGGCAACTTACTGCTCATTGCACATTTTGCGAGCCTCCAAACATCACTTGGGTCCTCTCCAGATGCATGAGCTCAGGCGCAGACAGCTGCTGCCATGCAGAACCAGCTAAATGAGGGATTCTTGTCACAGTCTGAGACAGAGGAAATTAATAAATAAGCATGTTTGCCTCCTTTGGGAGCAGCAGGGGCCTTTGGGGGCACAGCAAGTGAAGATTCTAGATGTAGATAGTGAGCCCGCCTGAGGCTGACCTTTGCAACCTTCGGTGGTTATGAAGCCAAGTTCTGGGCTGGCATCAAGCAGCCCGTCAAAGGCTCTGCTAACCGCTACCTACATAATGAATGGGTAAGGGAATCATTTAACTACATTAATGATTAATGATTATTAGAAATAGGCTTTGTCCAGACTACATACTGATTTCTGAGGGAATACAACAGTTTAGAGTGTACGCGCACTGAATACCTTCATGACCAACTAGTTGCAGAGTGGTAATTATGAGGTTGGGGAGAATCTCGGGGATAACTTAGGGTTAACTCGATTTCAGACGCAGTTGGTCAAGCTTATTCAAATGCACACCCAGCATTCCCTACAAACTATTACAATTACCTTGACCTGAGGTCTGAACAGTGTGTATCCTTGTCAGGTTTCACTTTTGTCCATTTAACGAGTATGGTGCAAACTATTTGATAGACGTTATTGATAAGATTATGTGACATTTAAACAAAAAGCTTTATGAAAATTTCACGTCATTGCAGACCGACTGTTGAGCCATCTCAACTGCAACCAGGTTGTTTATCCATTATTTGGGAATTTCAAGGTAATATTTAGTTGTAATTAATTTTCAATTTAGGAAGAGCAAAAATCCATTTAATGCTGCTTTTTTTTTTGTTAAACAAGAACAGAGTTTGGCAATCATGTACCTCCGCCAAGGCTACTGCCTTACGTTGCTATGTTAGAGCATGTGAAAAAAAAAAAAATCCCGGCTCCACCAGTTTTTCTGCATCATGTCCAAAATTCAAGGGTAATGTCCAACCCCTCCACCAAATTTCATGGAAATCAATTCAGCATTTTTAGCATTATCCTCCTATCAAAGAGACAAATACTGATGAAAAACATTATGGAGGTAATAAACCATTGACAGACACATAAATGCTGTAGACTCACACTGGAGGCACAAACAGGTTCAACTTAACAATGTATAACAGATAAACAAACTAAAATAGATGGTAAGATTTGCTCGTTGGGGGCTAAAACAAAGTAAAACAGAATTGTGCTGCCAATGTGAGCTGTGGTGACACACTCAATAGCCCAAGAACCCTTTCATTCTGTGGCAGTGGGCACAATAGCCACTAGCAGCGGCTTGGCAGGAAATCAGTTCAGCTTCTCTTGTTCAAAGGTTTGAAGGGGACGCAAGGAAGGGCGGGAGACCACTGACAAAAAAAAAGCTGAGAGAGAATATAAGAGAGGGAGGGAGGGAAAGGATGAAAATGAAAATAGGGTTAATGAGGCAGTCCAGGACCACCAGAGACTTCGGATCCCATGTAAAGCCCAGCCACATGAATGGGGGCTTTTGGCACAGCTGTGACCGAGTGCGAGGGACAGAATCTTCCCGGCACAGGAGCCTTCATGCATACTGTATCTCTCCCCCTCAGCAGCCTGCTCCTGAAAGTAGCAAACATTCAAACAACCTTAGAGGAGACTAATCCGTCTGCTTTCTTTATTCGCCTCCCCTGATAGAGGGGGCTGCAGTCACTTCTAAAAGCATCTGCAAATTGTCAGGGAGAAATAACATACTGCTGCCTATTGAGAGTGAATGGCCCACATTCCTGATGCGTTATAGTCATTTAATTCTCCCCCTCAGCCCTCTCACCGTGGCTTTAACAGACTGTACTTGGCAGAGTCTGGATGAAGGGCGGTGGCGGCGTGGTGCTCGCTCTGGAGAAACAAACACTTAAACGAATGCAGCTGACTGCATTCCTCAACAAAAACAATTTTCAAAAACCCTTTCCAAACAAACTGGAGAATCGGCGTGATAACCAGAAAATTGTTATACATAAACGTGAGACTAGCAGTAAAAATAGAGTTGAAGCTACCGTGGGGGCTTGGCTGTTGGATTGAGAACTCAAATGTGCAAATATGCCATTTCCCCTCGTTCCACTCTGCTCTGAAATGGACGTTAAATACAATGAGCATATTATTTGGTACAATTTGTCTTCATTTCTCAGCAGCAGAGGGAAGGCATGACTTCTTGTCAATGGCCAGTGCACCCGGACAGCCAGGTGGGTGGTAGGAAAAGAGGGGGAGAGAGAGAGAGAGGAGGAAACTGAGAGGAGGAGAGAGGAAACACGAAACAAGGATTCAAGTCTTTTGAAGAGAAAACAGGAAACAAAATGTGTGACGAGGCATAAAAAAGGTATTCTGATAGATACTGACAGAAAATAACCAACAGCTACAATATCAACACAAGGTTGTCGGATGGCATTTGCCAAATGCTTGCCATTGAGCCTGTTCGTGTGATCATCCCATTTTCTTCTACTATGCCTCATCAAACACTTGTGGCAAATTATTGTGACAGAGACAAAGCTCCAGTGAAATGTATGCGAGAGACAAGGGAGACAGAAGAGGGAGTAGAGTGAGACCGAATTTACGGGGAATAAGGGGAAAGGAGGGAGAAAGATAAGGGAGGTGCGGGAGAGGGAGAAAACTAGGCTGGTGTTTCAGTCCACTCAGAGGACCGGGACTGAAGATCCATTTGTGTCTGCTGGAGACATCATCAGTCATAGCAGCAGCACGTGTTTGCGAGTGTAGTGGGACTAGACAATAAAACAATCTTCAAAATTCTTCTACATCCCAAAAAAAGATTCATTAATATTAAAAAATGACACTGACAAACTGTAATTTCAGATAAATGTTATTATTCTGCTGATCTAATCGTGCTACAGCTATAGGTTGCTGCTTTTTTCTACTTTGTAGGCACTATCAAGGAAGAAATAAAAATCACCTCGTCCTAACCACCCACTTACAAGACCCTGAACAGTGATGAGAAAACAAGTGACTGTTAAGAGGCAGATAAAAAGTCAATACAGTCACTTATGTTGCAGCCTTAACAGTTAAGAATGGCACTAGTATGACACTACACATGAGGGGGACTCAAACCGAAGCAGGGACACTGAGTTGACAATGTGGGTGACAAGTGGCATCCATGTCATATCAGACCCTTTTTCAGTTTCTCCCCACAAATGTTATCGTTTGAATATGATGAACCACTATCCGCTCTGTTCACAACACAACACAGGGAGATTGAGGGGAGAGAAAATTTTTTTATTTTTGCTTAAATAATCCAGCCGCCTAAAAATATTTTAATGAAATGAAATTTAAGGATTCTTTTTACCCTGGGAATGTTTAAGAGTGGCATTTACCAATGTAAGAGGATGATCAAAAGGAAGAGTATTCCTGGCCAGAGCAGAACAGAATTGCAATTTTACTTCATTTTAATTGTAGCACAATTAAATGTGATAAGAGAGGAGTCTGAATGACGTGGTTATTCATGTCCTATATAACAAATTTGGTGGCTCTAACTCTAAAATGTTTAACTTAATCATTTCAGTTAAAAACATATAGTGGTGTTAAATGTGTATCGAGGTCATTTCTAACAGATCAATAAGATAAAACACACTGTGATAATATTCCTGCCCATATTGCCCAACATAAGGGATAAGATCACATCGTAAAACCCCAGTGCTGGTCGTGACCTTAAATGCTGATAACACTACAAGAAACACGTGCACATGCAGTGGTTATTAAGGAACATTAGGTTTTGACCAACAACAAACAAAACACACATGCAGCACTAATAAACACACAAAATACACCAAGGATGTGGGGAAACCCATGTGACACAACAAATAAAAATGTTCACCTTGAACAGCATCATCAACCAGGGCATCTGAGCATTTCCCCAGGCAGCATGTATTCAAGCAGAAAACAGCCCATTAACCTTGTAGGTCTTGACATTAAGGCTTGTTCACTTTGGGGTTTTGTAGGGAAAGAGGAAGAGACATTTACTTTCCCCACTGATCAAGTTTAATATGTCCCTCATTCACCCACCACTGAGGTCACAGAGGCTAGAACCTATGCATTTTTCACGAGGTGTCTATAATGAAAGTGTGACAGAATGGCTTAAAATCTACATTACTGTGCCGCTGCACAGATATTGTGAAACACCAAGATGACCAACTGTCTTATTGGATGTACTTGTACTTGTGGTGGAGTAAAATCCTGTTAAATAAAAATAAAATCACAACACAGAGGTCCTTTGATTATGTCAACAAACCGGAAAGGCAGCTGAATCTACCAGAGTGAGCTACAGGTGACTTCATAATTTTACTTGTGGAATGCTTGTAGTTCAAAAGCGGTTTTATCCGCAAATCGAATTGGACAAACAAGATGACTCTGGTATTCTGCTGCAACGCTACATTCAAATGTAAATGATCTCTGAATAAACACCAAACACCATAAACTTCTCACCTATCTGCAGAGATGTGAAAATGTACTCCGAGGTATGAGAGTACATAAGTGACATCACTGTTGGGTGTGGTTATAGATATATAAAGCCGATGGCATTGAGTTACGTGTGAACTGAACTTTTCGCTGGCTAACGACGCTTGAGATTGATAATGACATTGTCAGAGTTAGTAGTGTTACAATGTCACATATTACCTGAAATATAAACTCCACCATTGGTTTCAGAGTCTATTCTCAACAGCAAAACTAACTACGATCCTGGTCTATTACACTATTTGAGCTAATATTTGTCTTCTCTCAGAAACTCTCTTGGCTGCTCTCCAGCAGAACCACTGACCTCACAATCACTGTTTCCTCTCTGATTGAGTATGCTGAGCAGCGAGACAAAAAAAATTTAATAATGTATCACTGTCCAAATATTTACAGCCTTAAGTAGAAATCCGCTGCTCAAGAAGTCCGAAGAAATGGATATAAAATGAAAGCGTCTTACATGACTCGCTTGAATTAAAACAAGCAGAGGCCTTTCTGTTGTGAGGGACAATGTCTCAGTGTTAGTAATGGAGATCTGTTAAACTGTGGTCTTCTCTGGAAATAACACGCATTCACGCACGGTAAGGCAAATACACCATGTAATCTTTTCTGACAAAAAGTGTTTTCTATAGCTACTGCAACTGCCCTTACTGTTTTATACAGACACATCACTGCAAGACATTTGAGAATAATTCCCTATTAAATTAAAGTGTGTGTGTGTGTGTGTGTGTGTGTGTGTGTGTGTGTGTGTGGGTGTGTGTGTGTGTGCACCTGTGAGGCTGTCAGGTCGCGTCATCCTCTCGTAAATGTCGTAACTCTGGGGTCCATAGGGGTCAGTGCTGTGGAGCATGGAGCGGGGAAGGGTGGAGCTGTAGTGCTGGGGCACAGCGGTCATAGTAGCCCTGATTGGAGATGACGAGTGGCTGGGCTGCTTAGTTAGCGGGGGGTTAATGTTGTCCATCATCGTGAGAGGCGAGCCCATGCGGCCTGACGAGGAACCTGCGGACGCCTGATAGGGCGAGGTGTTGTGGCTAGCGCTGCCCGACCGTGAGTTCGTGGAGCCCACGCGTCGCAGTGCAGCGGGGGAGTTTTTCTGGGTTGAGTAGGGTGAGCTGCTTCCACCGCAGGCTGTAGTGGTACTGACCCGCTGGGCGGAGGGCAATGTTGTGGAGAAGATGCTGGAGAGGGGTTTGGGTTCAGTTACAATGGGTGAGCCATAGGCACTGCCAGGTGAGGTACGCAGGGAGCCCCGGGAGGGAGACATACTGCTGGCGTAGGCTGGCGAGTGAGAGCGAGAAGGCACTGAGCTTACCCTCCGCATAGCACGGCCAGGCACTGCTGTTGCGACCGCTGGAACCTGCAAGTGAAGGGAAAATACAATATGGCTTCATGCATTTGTTTCTTCAGTCCTTAAGGAGCAATAATAATCATTAACAATCATGTAGTACGTCACTTTACCTGAGTAATGGGAATGACATGCTTAATAACACAGCATTAAATAAACCAATTCATTATAGAACATGACTTTACTCTAGGCCATAATCATTTTCTTTTTTCCATTTGCGTCTACGGTGTACAATAGAGCAATTTGGTTTCCCAGTGGTCTCTGTGTACTTTGCCACATGAAGCATGATTATGTTGTTGTGCTCAGAACGCTGTGAACCTTCTGTGTCTTTAAACTTCACATTGCTATCTTCTCAGGAAACATCTCAATTAAATTCTGGTGTTTCTCTTTTTTGTCATTTATGGAAAACTACAATCAGGTATTAAATCAATAAGCTCTTTAACATTGTGAGCCCTGTTTATTGAAAAACACAATGCTCATACTGGATTGAAGGGGTCTTCCTTTGCTTTCAGCACAGCTTCAGTTCTTTGTGGCACGCTGAATATCCCTTCATGTGCATCAAATCATTTCTGCTGATTTGCTTTCTGCACAATCTCCCCTTCTACCACATCAAAATGATTTTATCAGATTCAGATCTGATGACTGGGAAAAGCGCTGATGTGCACTGATCTCATTGTAATGTTCATGAAACCAATTTGAGATGACGTTGATTGCTTTGTGACATGGTGCATTAACAGGCTGGAAGTAGCCATTAGCCATTGTGGCAACAAAGGAAATGCACATGGTCAGCAACACTTCTCTGATAGGCTGTAGGATTCAAGCGATGATTCCCCACACTCTATCACCTCCACCAACCAGAAACAAGGCAGGTCCTGGAGCTTTGGTTCCCAACTTCTGACCCGACCATCTGCATGTCTCAATGCAGATACATCATTCATCAAAATTCTGTTCTTGGCGGACGGAAGCGGAACCCATCATGCTTTTCTGGTGCTGCAGTAGCTCATTTTACATGCTCTGCACCCTGAGAGTGGTTGTCTGGGTTATTGTAGCCTTTCTGTCTGCTCCAACCACTCCAGCCATTTCGTAACCTCTCGAGAATCGTTTCTATCTGCAGACCTGCCGCTCAACGGATGTTTTGTTTTTCACAGTAAAAACTCCAGAGACTGTTGTGTATGCAAATCTCAGGAGATCAGTTTCAGAAATAATCAAACCAGCCCGTCATCATGTGATCAGTTCACCTTTTTCCTCTATTCTGATGTTTGGTGTGACCGGTAACTAAAGCTCCTGACCTGTATCTACATGATTTTATACATTGCTAACTTGTGATTGGATAATTCCATAAATTAGGAGTACACCTCTACCTAATAAAGTGTAATCCAGATAAAAACTCTTTAAAGATACATTTTGTATTTTTGACATCAGCAATGTGTTGTGGATGCAGTTGCTGCCAGTACCTGGGATGAAGCCTGGCCCTCAGCCCTGGCATTCCTCATCAGGGTGCTGGTGCCAGCGCCAGGGAAGGAGTGCTGCATCCTCAGCTCTGCCTTGCCCAGGTTCTGGCTGCTGAAATAGCCGCTGCTGGCATCCTGGTAGCCACTGTCCGAGTAGGAGTTAATCTGAGTCGAGCTACGTGAATTCACTGCGGACCCTGAGAGAGAGAGAGAGTGACAGAAATAGAGACCGAGAGAGGAGGGCAAAGGGTCAGAGGTACAGGAGACGGACACATCACAAATGGTTTCATAATAGATGTGACATTTACCTAGACGACATCACTACTGACAAATGGCTCTGCAGGAGGATAAATGTTCTACCACCCTGTGTCTCAATGTACCATGGCACATTTTTCAGCATTTTATCAGCTGTGATGAGATATCAGCTATCACCATTACTCAGGGTATCAAGCACCAGTGAGGAAAAGAAAAAATTGTAAGGTAGTCACAGATTTTATGTAAAGTATTATCAAGAGACAAGTAAAAAAAACAGTTTGTCCTCAATGAATTTCCATATAAATGTTGTGGGATAATGCTGAGGCAAGGAAACAAAGACGTGAGTCAGAGAAAAAAAACGCAGTGCAGAAGATGGAGAGAAGGCAATAACAGACCCTCACTTTCATGGAGAGAGGACTGCTCCGGGGAGTACAGAGACACCTGCTCTGACTCAGTCCTGATGCGGTAGCTGGGCGACTGGGAACTGTCAGTCACCCGAGACTTTGCGTCCCCGGAGGCAGAGGCATCTGGGAAGGCAAAGCAGGGGAGTCAGACAAAGAGAAAGAGCTCTGAGTGTGAAACAGTTACAGAGTTTTGAGACGAGGAAGATTATAATAGTCATTAAAGTGGTCGACGATTTTTGGAGTTGAGAAGAAACAATAACACCCAATGATTTCTGCAACATTAATTTCACGCCTGTGTTCGAGTCATTCAATTTTACTGCCATACTAATTTTGGGAAGTGAAATTGGGTTGGCGCGGTGGTTCAACTGTGTATGCAGCCATGCTCCAAATAGCTTAACTGCTCTAACGTTCCCCTTCATCCCGCTCTCTTTATGGGTGGTGACAACAACCAGTTTGGCAAACAGGAACTTGACTTAGGCCTCTAATGTCCCTGTGCACAATGTTTCCCCATAATCACAATCTAGTTAAGCGTGACTACTCCCAATTGGTTACTCTGCAATCACTTCAACAATAGGCGGCAAGCAGAGGGGCACAGGGAGGCAAACGTCGGCTGCAGGGGTATTTCATATCCTGCTCAGTCAGCTGGTGAGTGAATGAAATTCTTTACATGTAAGCCTAGTACCTGACATCCCACTTTCTTACATCTGGATATCAGAGTGTTTAAACATTTAAAAATATTGCATGGCCTGGTGTGAGCAGGTTATCAGCGATGGACACCATGCCCATTGCATTTCAATAATGCTATTTTCAATTTAATAAATAACCCTGTTGAGGTTAAAGGGTAAGGACAATTATTTGTTTGCTGTAGCTGCCCAAAAGCTTTGGAATCATTTATTATTTCCATTTATGCTGCTGGCAGACATGCACTGACCTCTGGACATTTTGTTGAAATTTTCATGCAAGCCCCTGAGTAAAACATGAAAAAGAGGAGCAATACATATAGAAGACACCTGCTGTGTTCTTCATATGTGAAAGAACATAACCCTATTGTCTGCAAGTTGTTTTTATTCGCTTTTTAGCCTAGAGAGAATTTAAATTAATACAAATTTAATGAGTGTAATACAAGAGTCCTGTTTAAGTATTTACAAGCATATGAGCAAGCATTTGTGTTCTTTAAATGTAACATAAGAAAGTCTTTTGTCTCCTTTTATTCTGGCAGTGACTCTGTGTCGTTTAAGACCTCAGGGTTTTCATACTGAGCCTTGACCCTGTTTGATAAATGAGATGCCAAGAGGCCGGAACAGAAGAGGAAAATAAATAGAGGGAGAAACAGCAAGAGAAGAGAGAGACACAACCCTTTCCCCCAAGCTGATGATCAAACATTTCTGGTCTCAAATAATAATAATAATAACAACAATTCCCATATGTAACAACTCGACTGTTCTCAAATGACATGAACACTCCAGATACACACCCAGGATGAGTGGCTGTCGCAGCACTGTGTGGGCCCCGAACAAATGTTCTTGTATATCAATTATTTATTCTATGAACCTATAGATAGTGTCCAGTTCACACAGACGTCCAGCACCAGCCATACAATCCGCTTGTCTGTGTCTCATCTCGACTTTAATTTCCATTTCTCTCTGGTTATCTTGCCTCTGCTTTACTGTGTTCACAGAACAGGTTTGATTCCCTTGTTATTTTTTTTTTTTTACTTTTCAAAGCATATTTTCCAAAATAAATCTTTAAGGTTCACTGTGTAAGATTTAGGTGAAAGGGGTTTGATAAGTAGGTAGATGGCTGCCTTTACTTTGATTAAATTGACAGGGTCTTTTTTCAAAATGAAGCTGCCAGTGTGTTACAGAATACACGTCTGTAGAAGAAACGGCTACACAAAAAATGACAGGAAAGAAAGTTTTCATTTCAGGAGGTTTGTCCTCTATTCTCGGTGGACACAGGGTGTGACTGCATTGACATTGCCTGGGGCTAGAATGCTTGTTTCCACAGTAACACTTCTATCCCAAACACTCAGACAGTGGAGTCATCTGGAGGCTCATGAGGCCAATAAGCCTCACGGACAAAAACGTGGCCCATTACGCTCTGCGCCGCACATTTAGACTTTAATTCATTTAGATTGGCAAAAAAAGTGCATTACCACATCTGACTATCATTTATCATCTACAGTAGAATGAGAAATCAATACAAAGCGATTGTGATTAGTCCTCAGCTCTGTTCCAACACTAATGAAATACATTCAGCAAGGAAATGGGCAGCGGGCAACAAATGAGAAAAGCGTGTAGTATTAATATTCCCACAGCATATGTACAACTAAACCCCCCATAGGCTCGTCTGATGGGATCAACAATAAAAGATTAATGGCCATTGCAGAAATTCACTAAGTTCCACAATTGAATTAATAAGCCATGAAATACATTAGTAAATTCAATTCATTATCCGTTCTCTCCTGGAGATCCTTCAAAGATGTGGGCTAAACAAACAGACCAAAGAAGTCGCTGAGAAATCCTTCAGCTCCCCGTCACCGGCGGTGTTATGTGTGAGTGGGCAGAAATACCTTAGATAAATATTAAAACAGGAACAGCCTCAGGCTGTGCATTACTGTATGTGTGCTCGAAAAGGCCCATGTTAGCAATGATTACTGTGTATTGCACTACACTCACAGAAACACACTCTGTACAGAAAAACCAAAGGTCCTCTCTACAAATATTAAGAGACAATTGAGAAGCACTAAGCAAAGAAGTTTTGCATTCCAGATGTTACTTGTGTATTTTATCACTGTGATGCTGAGCAGTATTGTCTAAGCCAATTTCGGCTGCCTTTACGTGTTATGACCCATGAGGAGGTTTGTTTATTTTTAGGTTGAGGTTTAGCAGGTGTAGAGCGAGGTGGTAGAGAAAGACCGCCAATCAAGACCAGACTCTAGACAGTAACCAAGAGCACACACTGTTTTTCACTCCACCCCTTCAGTATGCACAGGGACTCTTTGCCATCACTTATGAACTGAATCAATGCAACAGCGTCTGACCTGGCCGAGCCTGGAGCCTGGTGTGGCTGGCTGGGACGGTCAACAGACCGATTCATAGTTCCCACTGGATGAAGACACCAGAGAAGTTTGGCTGAACGTCATGAGTAATCCAAAACCTTTCTAGTCAGCTGCACATAAGTGAGGATTCAAGTAAACTGCACACACCACAGGAAATAAATTAAATGTTATCAGGTGAACATGAAGGAGCTAGCAATGAGATTTAGCTGAGCATTTTATAGTGGCGCGCCACATAGAGTTCAGTTCCTCTTATGAGCCGTTTTAAAAGATGTAACTGCCCACATATTTCCATACGTCCTTTACGTTGGCATGGTTGTTAAGCAATACATCCACTAGAGTTTCTGACAAACATGGTGACGGTGCAGGAGGCCGTGATAATGTACCTCTTAAGCAAAACACAAAAGTGGCTGTTAGTCTCAGTATCATCATATAAATGCTTAAGTTCCTTGTGTCTTAGCTTGGACTGCTGGCTACACTGCTGAATGCAATGCAAAGCTTGCTTGTGTTAGGAAGAGGGACAGCTATCCAAACATCTTAGTGTTTAAGTTGACGTACCTGCAGTTCTCCAAGGCAGGGACTTCTCAGACGAGCTGTGAAAACAGGAGATGAAAAAGTGAATACATGTACTACACACACCACATTGAATGACGTGAGTGAAATCAAGTGGAACAGACACCTTTGGGACTCATCTGCTCTTTCACAACCGTGTATATACAGTTTAATCACTGTGTTTGAGATAGAGGAGCCAGAGGTCCAGAGTATACTGCCGAAGTGGAGGTTTCATGTTTACAACTCAGATGTAAAGTCCATTTTTACCACCGCTAGACAAAAAGCTGTAAATGTGGGACTGGACTCTGTGGGACGCTAAGTTGAAATGTGCAAAGGACAGGGGATGGGTTATGGTCATATGGAAGCTGATACTGAATAGACAACAGGGACAAGCCCCGAGAGTAAATCAGAGGTGATCATTCAGTACATCAACAAACACTCAGCGATGTGACATCCTGACATAATCCTGTATGGTGGTGAATGACAACCACACAGAGAATCTGAGAGAGATACCTAGTCTCCAGAGAATAATGCAGGAGAGTCAAGGTCCAGTCAGAAAGTGTGTGTGTGCACGCGCGTGCGTGCGTGCGTGTGTACGTGCGTGCGTGCGTGCGTGTGTACGTGCGTGCGTGCGTGCGTGCGTGCGTGTGTACGTGCAGAGCCAGGAGGATCCATGTGTTTGAAGCAGCACTACTATGAAGTAAAATTTCATTCATTTAAAAGAAAAAAAAATAGAGGATCAATATCTGGCGGTCAGCGTTAATATTGTGGCAGAGGCCACACATAAATCAATGAATGGGAAACATTGAGAAACTGTAGCAGTGTTGAGGATGTCAGTTGAGTTGGCAGTACTTCAATGTAGAGATAAATTCGTTTTCAAATATCATAATGAATGCAAGACCACCTCCAAAGGACTGTTTGGATTTCAGAAGTGTCCTAAATGTGTCTTGATGCGTCACACCTGCCCTTACAGCTGTCCACTTGTGATCTGCCAGGTCTGAACAGGGCCACAACACTGATGATACTTGTCAGAAAACACAGAGCTGGTGCGTCAAGGATCAGACTTATCAAGCTCATCACAAGACAACATAAAACCATGCATCACTCCACTCTTAGCCTCATTTGGAAAATGTCTAGGACCTCCACTAGGTGCATTATAACCCTGAATGCATTGGTATAAATCCAGCTTAGGCCTTTACAACAGAAACCTTTCACTTAATTATTGCAGTTAAGGTGTTAATGTAGACAAGAGGCAAGAAAGGGGGCAGGGAGGAAATTATAGCCCATAGTGTAGCACAGTTTCAATGGAGCTCTGATGTATTGTTTTGCATTTCTTTCTGATTGATCATGATCATGAGAGAACTACGTGTGTGCGACACATCATGCATCTGGTTCCACAAAATTCCAGAGAGCTATCATATAATCACAAACAGGTCAGCATTAAGCCTAGTTTATGCTTCTGCGTCACGTCGACGCCGTACCTACGCCGTAGGTCGTTGAGCATTCGAAGTTCTGCGTCGAGGTAACGCGTTGCTCTGCAATTCACCGCCATGGCGCTAGGGGGTGTAGCGGTGTGTTTGTGTGGTTATAGCCGAATCCTCGCTTTTTCTTCCGTAAAGTAAACAACAGTAAACAATGGCGACCGAGGTGGAGCAGCTGTTTTTGTTGTTGGAGCTCATCAATATTGAAGAACAAATGCTTATATTGCAAATGTTGAAGCGCAAGCTACAAAGAAAACGTTTGCGGAGTTGGTTTTTACGACGAGGAAGAAAGACCGGAAAAGCAACTGCCGGAACTTACGTTCTGAGCGGACCAATCACAGCGCTTACGGTCCGCGTCGACGTCCGCGTAGTTAGGATTTTTGGGAGGCGCACGTCAGGCTACGGCGTAGGGGTCTGCGTCTACGCCGTAGCTACGGCGTCGACGTGACGCAGAAGCATAAACTAGGCTTTAGGGCAGGAAGACTGAGTTGTTTCCCTGAATGCACTGAAATGGTTATAGCTTCGTGCAGAGCAGGCATGAGCTATCGTACACGAACATCTTAATAGCCACCTAATCATTTCAGTTTATGGAAGTACCTCTGAAAATATATTCTGACTAAAGGGGGAAGAAAGTCATACAAAGCCATTTTTCCAAGACTGGTTATTACAACAGAGGCCAAGCAGGAGACATCAGAGCTGTGTTCCAACTCTTTTCATTATTTGCTGGTCATTGCTATCAAGCACCAAATGTCTAAGGTGACACTCAATGAGCTTGAAGAACCCCAGCTCTCTGAATTTAATGAGCTCGCAGGCAATTAAAAAAGAGGAAGTTGGGCGAGTTGTGCTCCACTCAACCTCGGCAGAAGAAGACGAAGAAGAAGAATGGATACCATGATGGTAATGTGATGCTGTGGATGCTGCGTATCGACTGGCTGCCCGGGTAAAAGGCTTTGTGGAGCGATTGTAAAACTGAAGATGCTGATAAACAACAGGTCTGACCCTGATGGGATACTTTATTCCCCATCAATCCCTCTGGCTAGTCAGAGATGGGCTGGGTGGGAGGTTACATATTTTAAAGAGTTGGTCAGAGGTCATCACTGCCTCCCCTCTATGTACTTGCAGAAATGAAAGGGCGGTGGTCAGCTCTGGAGGTGTCATGAAATGTAATGACCTCCATCACAATCCTTAGGTGTCCTGTCACCTCATCCTGCTGAGCTATTGAGCCCAAACAGTGGGACCTCGACAGTTAAAGCTAATCTCCATTCACACACAAATGTCCAGTGATAGCGATTTCATTTGTCCTTCTCTGGCTTTAAAATAGGTGAGAAAATGGTGTTACATGTTTTCTTTATAGGATCTGGGGAGGGGGTGGACGGCTACCGCCCCCCAGTGAGAAGAAAAAATGCGTTAACATGGATTTGACAAATGTGATTACAACATTTAGCAGGGACCTACTTTTCGAAACAAGATGTGCAGGGGAAACGTAGTCTTACAAGACCGATAGAATAAACCTGGATAACAAATGCAGATTTCTAATGGAGAGAACACTTAGCCATTATTCAACCTTACCAGTGTTTCTGAAAGCTTTTTCAAGTGTGTCCATTTGCATGCCAAAGACCAATGACACAGAGAGTACCTCTCCTCCTCTCTCTGTGTGTGTGGTAACAGTAAAAAGTGGTGAAATAAAGATTTAACTGTCAGGTTTGTATCTAAAATAATTAAATCCAAACTCAAATTTTAACAGAGATTTGAACAACATTCTGCTACAACTGAAAATATGAATGACAACAGAAATCTGATTGCAGAGCTACACAGTGGATTAGGTAACTCATCTCAGCCCAAGGATTTACTGAAAACCCTGTGTATGCATCAGCAACAAGTGTCTCGATCTGATTTGGAACTGCTGTGATGCAATCAAACTCTGATTATAGCGTCGACAAAAACAAGAATTATTTTACCTCTGATTCGTCTGCCACCTGATTCTGATACTCGTGCTTACTGTGAGAATGAACGATGTATGGCTGATGTAGCCTCAAGGCTTTTGACTTACTAATCAGCTCTGAACAACAAATTGCACTCAGATAATTCCTGGGCCACTAGAAAGCAGGCAAGGAACCACGGCTCAGGAGCTAAATTGTGATCCTGGTTCTTCCAGTGGCTAAGTAGGTAAAGTGTTCCAAAAATGCTTCCTGGATTCCTTATAAATGAATTACAATTGAAAATACTCACATTTCAATCATTAATCCTTTTTATAGTAATACTTACTAGACATATCATGAAAGAATAATCTTAAATCTAGGGAATATAAAAACAATGCAATCCATGACATACAGTCAAGTTTTTTTATATTTCTGTTTTCATCAGCTGTGTGGAGCGATCTTTAACTTTTCTAACACCTATAACTAAATGTATATTGAGAAATAGGTTTGATTGCTCTCTTCAATTGTCACTGTTGGACAAAAAACACTTGCACATTAGAGACTGGTCATTTGATGGAGTAAAATGAATGTGAAGGTGGCACACATTAGTTGTCACGTGTGAATGAGTGAATATGGAACCACCACAGGAAAGCAAGTGTGTCACTTTTTAGATGATCACGGTGTTGCTATGTACAAAAACACTGTGGCCTAAAACAAACTAAATAACAGTTCTTTTTCAAGAGGGAATTGAAATAAAGAGGCTGTGTATATTTCCAGATACTTGGTGTCTAGACATTTTCCACAGCACTTGACGCAGCCCTTTACCTGCTCCTCTACAAAATAAGAAGGGGAAGTGGACACTGTAATTCCTGAGAACTGCAAACTGATGGCATTCGATGGGTGTATTTTGCAAGTAAACAGGCTAAAGTGCAAGAATCCATCATGTAAGGGCATATAGGGCATATTATCAAAGCCAGACAAAACTCACATCGTTCCATTATAGCCCCTGTGAAACTAATAAGTGTCATGTATCCACATATAACCTGAGTGCTTCTACTTGAGAGTGAATGCAGAGGGGCAATTGTCCACAATATGAAAATAACACTTCCATTTTCTTAAGATATAAGTCCATGCTTATAAACAATGTATAAGTGTATATGTGAGATTTTCAGGTATCATTTTAAGTACATAAAACTTATTCTACCTCAATCAGTCCAAACGTCATACATATCACCTCCTCAGTCATTTCAGTAAAAGTAACGGTTGTTTTTATTAGCTCCAAGTCCAACATGATGTGCTCAGTTTCAGTCACTGTTGTTTGTAGTACAAGCACAGTGGTAATTGCAGTGACACAGACACACCAGCACATAATTATTAATGCTCACAATGGTGTTGGCCACTTGCCAATACAACAAAATGCATAAAAGAATGTTACTAAAACCACGTGTAACGTCTTTTTAATATGATGTTGGGAGACCTCTCTTAAGGTAGCAGCCATAGTAAATACATTTTTTGTTTATCTAAATATCTGTTTATATTTTTGACCATGATACTTTTATTCTATATTGAATCTCACACAAGCATTAGGTGGCTTATTTCTGGAAAACCATTAATAAACATAGCAGTATAGAAAATGCTGGAGAGATACTATAGATTTTCAAAGCTGTTATTGGTCAACGTCAACAGCATGCTTGTCTATCAGTGCATCTTCACATCATTTGTGCCACTGAGACAAACCACCAACCAATGTGATGATACAAAACTGGTGTCAAACCTGCTCCATGACAAGCCTGTGAAGCCCACTGGTATTGAGCCTTCTACAGATGAACCTGACACGTCTGAGGCACAGTAGATAGGACAGAATGTGTGGTCACTGAGGTGTGATGATCAGGCAGCCTGGTGTCTCAGCTGATGAAGTGGGAATGAATTCCCAGAGCAAACTCCAAAGCTCTTTCACTCTGATGACAGTGCTTCACTGAGCAAACAACACTCTGATATCATGCACATTCACTTGCTGTCACTGATAAACATTGCCTTAATATATTGACTACAGAGTCAGTTGTGTATATGTTGTATTTTGTGTCAGCTTGGGTCAATTTGCCAGGACAAATTCAGCTTATTTAATTTGACCACGTTTGTTATTAGCTCATAACACTGAAGCATATTGGTGTTATTTAAATAATAGGACAGATTTACGCACACTGGGTTGCTCCTCACTATGCCATAAGGTTACACTATGGACTATGGCCACTGCTGTGAAGGATGAAAAAGCCATGTGTTGGACTGCAGATTTGTGTGTGTACGTGTGTGTGTGTGTGTGTATCTTCTCATTACCTGCTGCTACCATCGCCTGGCGACTCGGCCCCAAGTCTGCATCTTTCCAGCTGATTGGCCACAATCTGCCTCTCCACTTCCAGCTCCCTGGTTAGCCGCTCAAACTGGAGCTCCTGAGCACAAACAACAACAAAAAACATATACATTCTCCTTAGAGAGAACTTTACGGACTTCTATTGACAGATACGACAAATGTGAAGTCAATGTGAGAGCTGCAGGTTGGCAGGTTGACAGCTTGACAGCTCGCTCCGGGCTGCATTGTGGCCTGTGGGTTAATAATAGCACAACATTGAAGCTAAAAGCACAGCAAACAAGCTGAATCTAAAAAAAATGTTCGCTCACAAGTACCTTAAAAACAGAGGAAATTTACATCCCATGACTTAGAGTAGACACACACACACAGTATATGGTACTGCTACTTTTCCAGCCCACACAAAGAGACAAGCACCACTTCAGTTGGTGCTATTTAGCCTAGGTGGCACTGTTCCTATGGGAGTTGAGTAGAAATCAGCATTTGACTAATTATCTGGCCTGAGCAAAGCTATTACTTGCACAGCTCTATCGCTCCAAGCACTGGATCAAAACACTCATAAGTCATGGTGTTACACAGAAAAATGTTGGTACAGACACTCATTTTCATACCTTGGAAATTCCTTTTCAATTCACACACACCACCACTACCTTGGCAGTAAGGCCTCACTCACCATAAGTCCATGTAAAGATGGTGGAAAGCGGGCCTTGCTATCCTTACTTGTCCCATTTAATGTCCATTAGCACGGTCAATTACGTTCACAACCACCAGCACGCACACACACACCAGCTTCTTTTGAAACCTGTCTGAGGAAGTTTAGTCACCCCACAGTGCTAGAGGCCAGCCTACTTTTCACACTCACTCTCCAATGTGCCTTCAGGGTGAACTGAGATTTCCCTCCAGGCTACAGACACGCTCTGCTCACCCCTCCCCCAAACTTCTACCCTCCACCGCTCTCCTCCACCTCGGTTGTGGATATGTGAATCTTGACTGCAGTGAGAGGGAGCAGGAGAAAAGAAAAACTGCTTTGTCCAGTTTCCTCAATGTAATGACATTTGTTCATGTGGCTGGGATACCCCTGCAGTGCCACGAGCGACCCTGATAACATCTTGTGCTGTGTGCAAATGAGAAAAGATAACACGACTTGTATTCATAAGAAAAGAAATGTTTGTGTCAAAGACGCCTGAAATATATTATTATTATACTTTCGTGGTGTGGTGAAGGTTTGATGTTGTGGTGACTTGCACAAACCACAATAAAAAGCCTGCAGCTCACTGTGGCTGTATCCTCTGATAACTTTCCCCTTATGAAATATTTAAAACCAACCCGCTGACAAATTAGCACAGAACGTGTTCACATTTTGTCATGTATAAACCAAATACTGGTGTCGACTGTAGTGCAGCTAACAAAGTACTCCATTCAGGACAAATACATTGTGCCTCCATGTAGTGTGAATAAATGGTAAAAATCCTCAGAGGGTTAATCGGTGGAAAGGCTTTAATGGAAAGCAGCTGAGGGAAATGTTAAGTTTGCATTAACAGCAACATACCACAGCAAATACGGCAATACGGAGTAGATGTGGTGAGGATGGTATCAGTTAGAAAATGCCAACAGAAGGTTTAAATGACAAACTGCACTTGAACCGCAGTGATTAACTTACAAGCAGCACAAAGCTCTACACTAGGGTTCCTGGGAAAATACCATTAGTTTGTGTTAGTGTAGGCTAATTAAGCTAAAAAAGGTTTCTCAAAAAATGTCAATATTTGTCTTTATAGCTGCTATTTTTATAGAACTATTAAAAGTATTTTATTTAATCTGCACAAACAGAGATCATGTGTTTGTTATAAAGCATGCCTTAGAATTTATATTGGTAAAACCACACAATTAACAAATAATTAGAGCAACTACTTTTGTCACTGTCACTTTCTTTTATTTAAATTCCTTCATAAACTTTATGATGTCAATCGGCTTATACTTAAAGGTCCAGTGTGGAAGATTTCGGTGAAAGGGATCTATTGGCTAAAATTGAATGTAAAATAATCCTTGTGATGTTTTCACTAATGTGTTTCATCTAAATTGTTTGAATTGTAGTTTTCTTTACCCTAGAATGGTCCCTTTATATTAAAATACTTTATATTTACATCAAGGGGGTCCTCTCTACGGAGGCCGCCATGTTTTTTATATTTGTTCAAAAGTCTACAAACTAAACAACCTTTGAGTTTTTATGACAACTGAAGGCTACTAAAGGTTCTTTCATGTTTGGAAGGGGAGGGTGAGGTGAGGAGCATTCAGCTGCAACATGCAATGTCACCACTAGATTTCACTAAATTCTACACACTGTACCTTTAATTGTTAGGTTATTTGTGTATGGAAAAGATCTTAAAGAGACAGGAGCTAAAACCAAGCATTTCAGACAGCGGCTGAAAAGAGGAGCAGCAACAATGGACAGTATGAGATAGGTGATGAGTTTTCTGAACATTGGAGCATGTAAGCCTTTTCAAGTAACAAACCAAAATTACAAACCACAATATGGGTATAATATATCTCCTTTAAGAAAGAAGGCTAATTTCCCCGTAAACCAAAGATAATCAAGTACATTTTAGTTTGTAATCATTCATCAAGATGCAGACTCAGTAATGACAATAGGGGGATCCCCTCGGGTGTCTTTTTATTCCTGATACAAACACCAACAAGCTAACAGTGCACATACTGTGCACATACTGGGAGCAGGACAGAGACAGAGCGGCCACACCACTGATTTACTTACAAAAAGAGATGATCCATCAAGCCTCTGTGTGACAAATACCCCTGCTGAGAGATTTAGTCACATGAAAATTGCCAATTTCAGCCCTTCATTCCAACCAATCCCCTGTTTCCATTCTTACTTTCCTTGAAACAGCTGTATGTGAATTGTATTTCAACAGTAGATATGTTCAAATTGTAAAGGGGAGGACATAATTAATTCAGGGGCTGTTTTCGCCACATAATTAATTTTATGAGGAAGGCCTTGGTAACACTTTTTTTTTTTAGATCTGAAGTCTTCAACAAATTTAACCTAAACTTCATAGAAATGCACACACACCCTGAATGTCACCAACAATACGAAGTGTTCTCTCACAAATGAAACCATAAATCATGCACAAAGTAGAGGTACAAGATGGACCACCATTTTCCACAAGAGTGAACAATTATGAACAATTTCTGCACAAATACATCTACCTCTTAACATCTAGAGCGGCAGTGAAAGGAAGGTTATGCCTTAAGTGTACTGTACTAGTGAGGAAGGATACATAATAACAGTGAGAAGAGGGAGAGGCTCACATGCATGCAAAAAGGGATTACAACAAAGGGAGAGATGATTCAAACAATCTTCCTGATACAAATTTGAAATCACTCCGGCTACAAATATGCAAAAGAGAGAACATGCTGTAAAAGTGTAAAAGGAGGAGGGTAATCCATATGGAAACACACATTAAAAGAGGGAGGAGAGGATGAAAATGTGAACATTTAAATATGTAAATGCAGCTCACGCCCACTGGATGTATTCTGGCAGCATAAGGCCACAGTCTGACTCAAAAACACCCACAAAAAGGTGCTTAAATGGGACTAAAACTGTAAAATACAAAGACAAACATATGCATTTTTACTTGTAACAACGGAAAAACACATACATAAGCCTATAAGATAAAAAATGACCATGCATATGTAGCACATGCTAATGCAAAGTATTATAATTTGCAGAGATACAAACCAAAGTGTTTTGTTTTCCTTTTCAATGAAGATGGAGATTTCCTGCTCCTGCAAATGTCACTATTCTTGGCCCATCATTTATGCGTCTTCTGTCTTTTAATCTCATAATCCAATTGTTTTGTTTGGCAGTGTGTCATCTTCTCCAGTCCAGCGACTTCATCTTGGGCTGCAAGCTTCTCATTATACTGCGGCACATCCGGGCAAGGGAAAAAAAACAAACAGCTAAAACTAATAGCTATGCATGTCTTAATACTGATTAGATAGTCTATGATCTTGATCAAGCAAAGCAAAGAGAGACATCTGCTGCAGCCATAAGTCACAGAGGTCTCTGTCACTACTGATCTTCAGAGCTGCTCCGAGCTTATCACAGATGGGGCATGCCTGCCATAACCCTGCTGTTGTCTTTACTATGGAGAGGCAGTCCAGAGCTCCATGCATGGAGCACTCTCCTCCAGGTCTTTCCTATCGCTTGACAAATTGGTTGCAGCTTATACTCAGCTGTACAATCATTAGGTCATTCACACTAGTTTTTCGGTATATTATTATCGTATATTTATAAAGTCAATTTATTAAATTACATTTTTTATTACTGGAGCACTTTATTCTGTATGACTCATTAAGACTATTATGAATGTGGATTCAATATATCCATAATTAGCTTGTGATAGCACAGGGCTGCGTGCCAACATAGGCCCTGGTCTAATGAAACATTTGTAAGTGTGGCTCACATTAGCCATGGAGAGAGAGTGCTCACTGCTCTGTGTAATTCATTGCATTTTCCATACTTGACCTCTACATAGAAAATGACACATCCATTCAGCATAATGATCTGCCACGTCAGGCCTGAGCACATCAGTAGTGACCATTAAACGGCGCCCTGTGCTTATTTTACGGGTGTGGGCCCAGCCTTGGTCGGTACCAGGCTTAGCGTGGAAGGAGAGGACAGGGACAATGTGCGAGCGGCTTTCCTGTACCAACAGGGCCTCCAAAGCCTTTATTTGCTATTACAATGAGCCTATCAGGTCTGATCTGCCCGTGGTCCCACAGCTGAATCAGATCCTGTTTGCTTGTGTCAATAGCCAGGGCCCTAAAGAAACTGATGACACACGGCAGCAGACCCCACTACCAACATACACGCTCCCATGTCATCTGTATGGGTGCTGCTGACAACACAAGACCTGAAATGCCTGAAGTGGCTTCTGCCTGCTGCTGGTTCAGCACAGATAAGAAAGGCTTGAGCACACATAAACCCCAAATGTCATGCAGCTATATTAACATACACTGACTTACCACTGCACTCCAAACAGCCTAACAATACCAAAACATAATAAA